TAAGAAGTTAAAGATAAAGAGAGAATCTTAAAAGCAGCAAGAGAAAAGCTGTTAGTTACCTACAGGGTTAGCTACCCGTAAGACTGTCAGCTGATTTCTCAACAGAAATTTTGCAGGCCAAAAGGGAGTGGCAAAAAATATTTAAAGTGATGAAAAGCAAGGACTACAACCAAGATTACTCTACCCAGCAAAGTTATCATTTAGAATTGAAGGTCAGATAAAGAGCTTCACAGACAAGAAAAAGCTAAAGTAGTTCATCACCACCAAAACAGTATTACATGAAATGTTAAAGGGTCTTCTTGGAGAGGAAGGAGAAGAAATAAAAGAAGATCAAGTATATTAACCCTTTTCGGTCCAACCTCAAGGCTGACTTGACAGACCAGGCGCTAAGAGCAGGTCCAACGTCGAACAATAAGAACATTAAAAAGTTCAACATTCAATCTAGTCAATTAATTTGGACCAGACTGTTTGAATTCCAAAAATAACATTGGACCGCAAAGGGTTAATAATAACATGGCAATAAATACATGTCTATCAATAATTACTTTAAATGCAAATGGATTAAATGCCCCAATTAAAAGACATACATTAACTGAATGATTAACAAAACAAGACCCTTACATATGCTGTCTAAAACAGACTCACTTCAGATTGAAAGACACACACAAACTGAAAGTAAACGGATGGAAAAAGACATTTCATAAAAATGGTAATAATAAAACAAAAAAGCTTATGCCAGACAAAATAGACTTTAAAACAAAGGCTATAACAAGAGAAAAATAAGGACCCAGCAACTCCACTTCTGAGTATTTATCCAAAGAAACCCAAAGGACTAAATTGAAAAGACATATGCATCACTATGTTCATAAAGTACAACTTATAATAGCCAAAATATGGAAGCAACCTATGTGTCCACCAGTAAATGAATGGACAAAGAAGAGGTGGTACATATGGACTGTAATTCAGCCACAAAAAAGAATGAAATCTTGTCATTTGCAACAGTATGAATGGACCTAGACGTTATTATGCTAAGTGAAATAAGTCAGACAAAGAAAGACAAATGCCAGATAATTTCACTTAAATGTGGAATTTAAAAAACAAAATAAATAAACAAGCAGAACAGGAAAAGGTTCATAAATACAGAGAACATTTTGATTGTTGTCACATGAGAGAGGGGTTGGGAGTGATGGGTGAAAAAGAGGAAGAGATTTAGAAGTACAAATTGGTAGTTACAGAACAGTCACGGGGGTATAAAGTACAGCATAGGGAACACAGTCAATAATCTACACTAATAAAAGAGAAAGATGCAAATTGACCTTACCTTAGCAACACCCACCAGCCAATCAGGAGTGGGTATGCAAATTAACCCAACAAAGATGGTGGGTTAATTTGCATACACAGGTGCCGGCACCGCCCCCAGCCGCTCCGGGCCTCTGGGCAGCGTGGGAAGGCAGAAAGGCAGCTCTGGACCACAGCAAAGGCAGAAAGGGGGCTCTGGCCGCAGCTAAGGCGGTGCTGGCAGCCAGGGGAAGGAAGGCCCATTCTTGCACGAATCTTCATGCATTGGGCCTCTAGTATTGTAATAAGTATATATGTTGTCAGATGGGTACCAGATTCATCGAGGTGATCATTTCATAAGTTATATAATGTCTACTCAGGGTGTCATACACCTGAAACTAATATAATATTATACATCAACTATAACTTCAAAAATAAAAATTTTTATAAAAAATAAAAAAACACTTATCAAAAAAAGTAAAAAGATAACCTAAGAAGGAGGAAATTTTTGCAATCATATATCTGATAAGGGTCTAGTACCCAGCATACATAAGGAACTCTTATAACTCAACAACGAAAAGATAAACAACCCAATTTAAAAACAGAGAAAGGACTTGAAAAGACATTTCTCTGAAGAGAATATATAACTGGCCAACAACCACATGAAAAGATGATCAGCTCATATGTCATTAGGAAAATGCAAATAAAAACCACAATGAGGGGGCGGGCTGGAGCGAGGCTGCAGGGGCTGGAGGGCCACATTCTGGCTACTGGCACGTCGGGGCAGCAGCTGCAGCCAGACCCCAAGCTGGGCCATCCCCGCCACTCACTGGGTGGTCCTCAGCGACGGCACGCAACTCCCTACCAACCCTCAGCACTACAGTACCACCCCCGGCGGCACGCTCTTCAGCACCACCCCAGGAGGTACCAGGATCATCTATGACCGGAAGGTTCCTGATGGCGTGTCGGAATTCACCTGTGACCAAAACAGCCCCATGGGACCTGCCCACCATTCCGGGGGTCACTAGCCCTGTAAGTGACGAGCCCCCCACAGAAGCCAGCCAGAACCATCTGCAAAATAGCTCTGAAGCCAGCAGGAGCAGGCGGTGAAGAGTCACAGTTTGAGATGGACATTTAAAGGACCAGCCATCAGACAGAGCAATGTGTCTGGGCCTCTCTGGCCCTTTTCCGGAGAAGAGTCACACCGGCAGTTACCATCCTGGGCAGGCAATGGGTGTGGGGTCAACCACCCTCGTCCTCTGCTCCCGCAGTCAGGGCACCTGCTCCCCCTTCCTCTTGGTGAACACCAGCAGATACCTCTTTATGCCTCCATTCATGCAGGAGCTGGCATGCCAAGGGGAGTGACTCTCCAGAGCACACACCCTGCCGCCTGGGCCAGGAAGTGGACTTGAAGGAGCCCTTCTGAATGGCCATGCCACTCTCTTCTGCTGAGGGCACACCACCCCTTCCTTAGGTTGGTGTGCTTGGGGAAGTTCCCCTCCCCTACTTCCCCAACAGAGGAAATAAAAGCCACCTTTGCCCTTGGGCAAAAAAACCAAACCAAAACAAAAAAACACAATGAGATACCACTTCACACTCACTAGGATGGCCACAATAAAAAAACAGAAAATGCAAAATGTTGGCAAGAATGGAGAGAAATTGTAACCCTCATATATTTGTTGTTAGAAATAAAAACAATGTAGCTGCTATGGAAAACAGTTTGATAGTTCCTCAGAAAATTAAAGAGAATTACTGCCGGAAGCCAATTCCAGCATGACAGCAGGGCTGAATCTGGGAATGGCTGATGGCATTTCCCCAAACCTGAAAAGGGATGATTGTTTGCTGCCAGACAGCTCAGGACATCTTAATCTACATGTTATTGCCTCCTACTGGCCAAACACCTGAACAGCCGTAGGCTAATTCTTCCATTCTGACAATGACTGTATACGAAACCTGACCCTTTGAAGTGTATATCTCTGCCTCACCTCAGGACAAATTGTGTTAATAAAAAGCATGGGGTCCTGAGACGAGGGGATCTTAGTTTCCTTTAAACTAGGCTCCTCTGACCCCCAAATGCCTTTCAAAGTTATCTTTTGTCTCTGGACTCCTATTTAATCTATGCACAGCCTTCTCCAGATTTCCTCAACCCTTCTTAATGCTGGAACAAGAACCCCAGCAAATTACCATATGACCTAGCATTTCCACTCCTAGTTATATAACTCAAAATAAATGAAAACAGGTTATTCAAAAAAATATTTATACATGAATGGTCACAGCAGCACTACTTAATAATGGGCAAAAGATAGAAACAACCCAAATGTCTAGTGACAGATAAACAGGCAAACAAAATGTGGTCTATACATATAATGGAATAATATTCAGCCATAAAAAGTAATGAAGGACTGATACACATAGCAACATGGATGAGCCTTGACACATAATGCTAAGGGAAAGAAGTCTGTCATAAAAGGTGACATGCTATATGCTTCCATTCATGTCTAGATAAGGGAAATGTATAGAGACAGAAAGTGCTTGCTTTAGGACTGGGGGTGGGGAGGGAAAAGGGGGAAAGGGGTTATTGGGGAAACAAAGGGGAAGCTATTGAGACAGAAGATGGGGAAATAAATTATCAGCAAACAACAGGTAAAGTTTAAAGCATGCGACATGTTTGTGTCAGATTTCTTAAAAGTAAGTATCAAGAGAAGGTTTCTACATTAAAGGTATTAGAATTTAGAAATTGAGCATCAGATTTGGTGAGCATAATACAAAAAAAAATTTACAGTAATACATAAATAAATAACTTGACTGCTGTAATAAGATGCCAAAGTGGCCACTTAAGGGAGAAAGTAGTCTCAGAAATGTTAGGAATTAAGGTAATATCCTTGCCTAAAGCAGTAAGAACTGTCCTCTTCTAGGAAAATATGTTACCATAAAATTTGTAATATTACTAGAGGCCCAGTGCACGAAATTCGTGCACGGGTAGGGTCCCTAGGCCTGGCCAGCGATCAGGACCAATTGGGACCTTCTGGCTGCCAGCCAGGGCCTTCCTTCATTCCGAGCTGGCCCCTGGTCGTCAGCGCACATCATAGCAAGCGATCAAACGCCCGGTCTCCCGGCTGAACTCCCAAGGGGATAATTTGCATATTAACCCTTTATACATAGATTAGTGGCCCATTGCACAAAGATTCATGCAATAGGCCTTCCTCCCCCTGGCTGCCGGCACTGGTTTTCCTCCAGCACCCAGGACCCAGGCCTTTGGTCCAGCCACACCAGCAAGGCTTGGCTTCTCTGCTCAGGCTGCTCCCAGCCCCTCCTTTTTTCCCCCCAGCTCCTCCAGCGGAGCCCAGGGCGGGCTGGAAGCTTGGCTTCCTCTGTTGCCGGGTGTAACTCAAGCCTCCTGCTCACTCCAGCTCTGTGGCCACTGCCATCTTCAGTCGTCTTCAGTCTTCACTCCGCGCCTGCATATGCAAATTAACCACCAACTTTGTTGGGCTAATTTGCATAGTCACTCTGATTGGTGGGTATAGTGGAGTGGCGGAGTGACAGAGTGGTGGTTAATTTGCATGTTTCTCTTTTATTAGTATAAATTTAAAAAAATGTGTTATGTGTATTTTACCATAATTTTAAAAATGATACTATCATGTCATAGACATCTGAAAAGGCAGACAGTGGTTGACCCACACAGCTATTATGTGGCATTATGGAAACATATGCTCATTTACCTCTCTGACTGAGAATTCCTTCAGGCCTGAATATTTCTGGAGTCTCAAAGGCAAAAATGCAGTCGCTTTCATGGACTGTTTCCAGGTCATCTGTGTCACAAAAGGAACGATGGAACCCATCATAGTACATTTCTGTTAACACAATCTAAAAACGGGGAAAAAGCAAACAACAGAATAAGCAGGAAGTCAATATGAATGGATCTCCTAATTCCCCATGAACTTCCCCAGACCATCAGGACCTAACCGGTGAGGCCTCTGACACATCACAGGGCCCACATTATTTGCCTTTAATAAGAGAATCTTGGAAGCACAGGATCCCCTGTCACTGAAGAGCAATGTACTTTGCTTTCAGAATGTGATGGCACTAAATCCAGAGTTCCTCTGAGTTCTGGTGGAGAAGAGACCCAGGAGATGAGAGTTACCCATTTCACAGGGGAAGAAACTAGAGAAGGCAGTCACCTGCCTGAGGTTATACAAGTATTCAATCTCTGACAATGACAGAGTCCACATCTGGCTCCAAGACTGACTCCTACATCATTAAATTTTCTTCTTTCCAGGTTTAAAAAATGTCAAATAACCATCAATATTTGTATTAGGGAAAAATTTAAATCAACTCAAATGTCCAACAAGAGGAACTAGTTAAATATATTATAGCCCAGTGGTCGGCAAACCGCGGCTCACGAGCCACATGCGGCTCTTTGGCCCCTTGAGTGTGGCTCTTGCACGCGCGGGCGCGCACGTACAGTGCGATTGAAACTTCGAGGCCCATGCACAGAAGTCGGGTTTCGGCCTGGGCGAGTCTATTTGAAGAAGTGGCGTTAGAAGAAGTGGGGGGTGTCGGTCGGTCGGATGACGGGAGACGCGGCGCAGGTGGGCCGCAGGATACGCAGTGCGGGGGAGGCACATGCGATTCATGCACGGGTTGAGTGAGCCAGTCAGTCAGCAGTCTCATTGTGCAGTGGTTAGTGCTAGTCGCGTCCGCAAATCGCACGCGGGTAACAAAAGTACCTACTCGAAGCATAAAGTTACTTGTATTTTTCCAACCAGTTCCAAATCCTACAGGTATTTTTGTCATCAATTTAAGAATTGTAATTCTTTTGTGTTGGTGGCTTTATTATTATAAAATGAAACATTTTTTTAGGTGTCCTGTTTGACATGGCTACAAAGAAGCAGCAAAGAAAAATGGAAGATGAAAACCATGAATTTAAAGTTGAGTTTAAAGTTGAATGTACCTACCTATATAGTTTAAGTTTTAAAAATTTGGCTCTCAAAAGAAATTTCAATCGTTGGACTGTTGATATTTGGCTCTGTTGTCTAATGAGTTTGCCGACCACTGTTATAGCCCTACTGGAATTAGAAGGCTATTACAAAGAATGAGCTATAAATAACTGCATTAACATGAAAAAATCTCCTAAGTAAATAAGAAGGTAAAGAACAATGAGTTCATTTTTATAAAACGATAAATGTAGTATATGCACAGGAAAAAACAGGAATGAATTTATAGCATAATGTTAAAGTTAGTAACCCCTAGTTCTCAGATACTTTATATGAGATAAGTTTTGTTTCTGAAATGGCTGAGTATTGCACAGTAACACAGAAAAACAAAAGATGGTAAACAATGGCGACATTCAGGGCTCTGTTACATGCTCAGCAGCACTGTCTAGTGGAAAAGCACTGGATGGGGCATGAGGAGGTTCCAGTCCCGGCCTGTCACCAACCAGCCCTGTGACCTTGAACAAGTCACATGGTTTTTCTGAGCCTCCTTCCAATGAAGGGTTTGGACTGGACCCCTTCAGTTTCCTTTACGAACACAAACATAATGAGTCTATGAGGTGAAGGGGGGTGGTGGCTAAGTCCACAAACAGTCCAAGGAAAATACTCCTGACCTATGTTCTGTATATGATTTTAATGACCACATTGTTTTTCTGCAGGCGAACATGTAATCATAAGTCACTTTCTCCGGCAAGAACAATGAGGTCAAAAAAAACTTGTAATTCTATCACTCATTCAAACCACATGCAAAAAGAACCAGACAGGACTGGGAGTTGTAAAGAAACAAAAGATTTGCCTGGACACACACCTACGCCTCCCTCCTCTCTGCCTTTCCCCTTATCCTGAAGGAAAAAAGCAAATCAATGTGCTCTTAAGTATAAGGAAAAATGTGAACACTTTATGAACGTGCCAGTACCGGTCTACGAAAATGTGTGATATTTGCTTCTTAGGGCAGCACTACTATGTTTTACTGTGATGACTTCCGAAATGAGGCTGTCTGCAGCCCAAGTACGTAACAGCTTTCCTATGCGAGTATGGCAGCTTCCAGAAGTGATCTAGGGAGCAGCTACTCAGTCACTGACTCATCTTTCCTTAGTAAACCCCATTAGGGAATGTTTTTCCAAATAAAATCATAACAGTGAACTGAATAAAGAATGTGTGCAAAAATATGTCACGCCACAAACAGGCCAAACATATTTTGGACCAATTAAAATACAAAAAATTTACCCAAAAATGAAAGGGATGCACAACTTCCTTTTTCTTATCTAAACAAGGTAAGAGACTGGTCCAGCTCTAACCAGAGAACAAACAGAACTGAGCATCTATGTGCAGGAACTAGCCAGACGCCCATTCTAATCACGTGATGGCAAGGGGTTATCAAGAGCCACTGCTCAGGCTCTCTAAGCCTCTTTGGCTTTCAAATACCACAGGGATGTTCTTCCCACTAAGCCTCCATCCGGATGATTCAAGAGGGTTAAGTAATTATACATAAAGTCACAGCCTTTCCTTTTAAAAATGTATACACAATTAAAGAAACATGAAAAGGTTTTATTGTACATTTTTCTCCTCTGGGTCTTAATTCCCCTTTTGTTCACCACAGAAACAACTGGTTTGACACTTCTATCTAACTATACTTGGCAGAGAACTGTTAAAAAATTCCAGAACAGAAAGCCACCCCTTCGGGGCTCCCTGTGCAGTCAGTGTGAGCAGGCAGACTACCTGGTCAGTGGGGATCTTTGTTTCCAGAGACACTGCTTCCCGAAGTCTGGCGACAGTCCCCGACAGAGGCACAGCCACGCCAATCCGCATGCAGTGAGAACACTTTCCTTGGTACACTACGGTGACATAGAGAGGCCTGTACAGATCAAAGTCAGATCTTCTTATTAGTTGCTTATTTCAACTAAAATATAGAAGCAAGACAAACCTGATTGGAAATCAATGTAAAACTGAAGCTAACCCACACCTTTATTTAGAAGTCAATAGAAAAACTCATTTGGGCCTAAGTAAAACTCTCAAACAATAATTAAGAGGTCTCTGGAAAAGGTAAGCTTCAAAAAACAACAGTATAACATATCAATACTTGGTTCTGTGCTTTGTGTTTCCCTTAAAACGGTGTAACTCCTGGAAATTTTGAGAAACAGTTCAAATAAAGCAATTAACTAAAAGTGCAATGTGAGGGCCCTAAAGAATCTAGAAGGCATTAAACAACCTTTCCCTTTCCCCACGCTGTGGATGGATGACCAAGTGGACAGACACACCTGTCCCATGCACCCTGCAAACTCAGAAAGGCATTCATAAATTTCTGTAAGGTTTTAATAATGCTTGTATGTAACGTATCATTAATCCCATTACTTGTCTAAATAAGAAGACCTACTGGGAGCCTACAAAGGAAAAGGAACACAGAGGAATGTGCCACCTTAATTTTATTAAATCTGTTCTTACCTTGTGTAGGGCAGAGGGATTGGCAAAGAAATGCAGAGGAAAGGGTCAAAAGTGTTGCTCTGCTTCTGACAATGAGGACATGTCAGGGAGGATCTTCAAAAAACAAAATGTAAGACACCCACATTAAGATCACCTACAACCACAGAAGCAGGCAACATAAAGGAAATTTAATTTGCTCATACCTGTATTGGGCTTGAAAAAGTTCTTGTACAAAAGTGCTACAGACTGGAAAAGATGGTCCCTCAGGCATCATATCAGACTCTGATGGTGGCTTAAAACAAGAAAGTACAATTTCACAGGCTGAAAGTACCAATTATTGACTGAAGATGACTCTGAAAGTGTCATAAATGTCCCTGACTTCTTATACAAGCTATGCATCAGGTCCAGATGTTCCAGTGAAAGGTATCTGCTAAAGGAACCAGAACATAGCAGCCGGGCCATGGGTCACAAGAACTCATCTCTTCACAGGCTCTCCCACACATCTCCGTCTCTCCACCCCATCCAGGCAGTTCCTCCCTAGGACACTCCAATCTCCCTCCAACTCTCGATGTCCTGCTCTAACCTCTTCCAGGAAATTAATCCCAACCACTAAGTTCTCTAGCACATACTAGCTGCTGATTTTGGTGCTTAATCACTCTCCTTCATATTTCACTAACCTTTCCATGTCTCTCCACTAACAGTCACTGAGTAGAGAGCACTGTAGAGGGCTGTAGGGTACAAAAATAAGACACAGAGCCTGACTCTGACTTCATCTCCATCTGGTGGGGGAGAGAGTCAGCTACAAGCATAGAGTCCTATGACAGAACAGTGTTCAGGCATGAAAGGACCTTGAATTAAAATAATTTAACAGCTTACCAAAACAAGAAACTTAAATTTTGAGGTACTGAGCAGAATTATCAAAAACTTTAAAAGCTGCAAGAGAAAGGCAACTCTTTATCTTAATTACTTCCATTATAAAAGTCATAACGTTACCCGTCATAGTAAGGCTACATGCATGAAAACAGGATAAATCACTCTTTCTCAGTATGAATATTCTGGCAGTTCAGTTCCTACACGTGAGTCCAATCCTAACAACAGACATCACACATTTCCTGTTTGACTGTGTCCATTCCAGTGACCTACAGGCTATGGGTCTCACTGGACTAGAAGGCAGGTGTTTGCTTTAATAACAGTTTAGTGAGAAGGAACCACCTAATTTTAGTCTAAGAGGCAAATGTGTCCCCTCTCATTAGACTGTAAGCTCCTGGGACAGTGCCTCTGGCATCTCACACTCCCAACACAGTAGTCAATGTGGAGAAACCCTCTAAGTATCCATGGATTTTATACTCACCTAGCGCTTACACAATGTCACTACAGTAAGTAAGTGCAAACTGCAAGGGCTCCTGAGAGGTTTGGGAGAATGGACCCTGGGCTTCCACTCCCTGGCTGCTGGGCGGGGCACCCTCACCTTCACAGGAGGCTGGCCGCTCTGCTTCACAGCATGATTGAGGTCTTCATGAACTCGGTCCAAAAGCCACAACAGAAACTCCTGGGCATCGTGCTGGGAGTTCCCCCGGTACTGCAGTGCATTCTTTGACACAATACTCTAGAAAGGTACATAAACCAGCACGAAGAGCGTGAGTCCTGGCTCTATGATAAACTGCTCATAATCCCAAAGAGGGATGGATGCAAGCTCTCAAGGGTTGTAGAGGACTTCCCAGAAAGACCAATGTAAAAACAGGTGCTAAAAACAACAGAAAGACAGGTACTCAATGTAAAACCCACCCCAGGAACATGCATCAAAGACTTCAATGTGCCTACCCAGGAATCCCACTTTTAGGAATATAGCTAAAGGAAACCATCAAAATAGTCACGACATCTAAGAGGATATTCACTCATCAGACCTTTTAATAGCAAAAAACAGGTGATAACTTGAACATCTTAAAAACAAGAAGTTTTACAATTACCATATTGTTACTTTGTACACCTGAAACCACCAAAATGTTATGTCAATTACACTTTAGTAAAAAAAAGAGAATTGGTTACCTAAGTAACCGAAGTATAAAATAAACAAGTCTACATCACATAAACATTGAGTAAATACATGGGAGGCAGAGACGGATCTTAGAATTCCAAATAATTTATGTCACTAATGCCCCTCTAGGAGTTGGACCTTGAGAATGGGCTATGATAGTGACTTGCTTTCAAAGACTTGAATATGGGAGAGGATAGCCAGGGAAAGGCTGCAGCTGAACTGAATGAGTGAGATCATGGGCTCTGGAGCATGTAGCCTCGGTTCAAATCTCTGTCCCGCCTCTTATTTTGTGTGAGGTCTGGGCTAACTCCCCTCCAAAGTGAAAAGGACAATAATGATTTAGTGTGATGGTTCAGTGAGGACACATGCAAAACATTTCACATGTAAATGAGTAATTAAGCACTCAAATTTTAACAATGAATATTGGACTTGTAAAGTAGGGAGACAACTACACAAAGCAAGAGCAGTTCGGAGACAAATGAAATGAGGAGGCATGAGATACTGAGGGTCTAAGCCAGCGGTTCTCAACCTGTGGGTCATGACCCCTTTGGGGGTCGAACGACCCTTTCACAGGGGTCGCCTAAGGCCACCGGAAAACACATATATAATTACATATTGTTTTTGTGATTAAACACTATGCTTTAATTACGTTCAATTTGTAACAATGAAATTGGGGGTCACCACAACATGAGGAACTGTATTAAAGGGTCACGGCATTAGGAAGGTTGAGAACCACTGGTAAGCTAAAGCAGTGAGGGCAGAAATGTGAGGCCAAGTCTGAGAGATTTCGAAATTGACGCAGTAGATCAACAGAATTTGTGAGCTAATGGATGTGGAAAGTGAGGAAGGAGGCATTAGTGTCACCCAGGTGTCTTATCTGGATGATGCTCAACTGGTGGTACTTTCCTCAAGACAAAATAAAAAAGGAAGAAGTCTGGGAAAGAGGGTGATGAGTTCCCTTTCGAATCCACTGCACTTGCAGTTCTATGGAACCTCCCAGTAGAAGTATCTGGTGAACAAGTGAAAAATACAGATCTGGGCTCCATGGAAGTCTGTGCTAAGGACAAGACTTGGAAATCAACAGATCAGTGGTAGTTAAAACCATGAGTACATCTGATCACTCAGACATACTCATGACATGGCACCCAGAGGACAGCTATATTTAGAAGCCCTCAAAGGAGACCAAAAAAGTCAGCAAAGATGTGGCAAAAAAAATCAGGAGACTGGAGACCCAAGAGTCAAGAGAAGAGAGTCATGCACAAAGTGGCCAATAGTATTCAAAGTTGAAGAATGATAAAGTAAGCCAAAGAAATAAAAGCTGTCCATTGTATTTTTCCAATAAAGATAATGATAACAGAGATTTTAAAGGGATAGATTTTTAATTTGATTATGAAAAAGAAGCATCACAACTTGATGGTCAATTACTAGTAGATATCAATGAAACATAAAGATGACTTACAAAGATTCCAATTTAGGGAGGAAAAACTCAAAAGGACAAAAATGAGAGTATATTGAGGTGTCACGGGCAAAACTTACTACTGAATGAAGTGAGCAAGGGAAAGGAAGGACCCTGAAGACCAACAAGGATGCCCCCTGGATGCCATCTCGGAAAGCAGTACACAAAGGAGATGGCTATACGCACCCGGAGTTCACTCAGTGTGGGGGGAACCTCCCCCTGAGGCCAGGTGCCACCCAATCACCAAATCCAATTTCTTCTTTCTCAGCCCTCACCTACTCAATCTCCCTGTAGCAGTTTCTACACTTGATATCTTCCTTAATTTTGAAATGACTTGGTTTGTGGCCTTATGTTCTCCTTTAGGAGAATCAAAACCAGAGCCATTGGTATGGACAATGGAAGAGGGTGAGCTACCAAAGAATGAGAAGATTTCCTAGTAAAGGAAAAACATCAGCACTAGCCACTGACTCAGGATGGAAGAGAAACAGGTGACTGGTGGCACTAGATTTCGGGAGACACCACGTTTTTAGTGTCTGACTTAGGTGGACAATGACGTCAGGAACAGCAGAAGACTGCAGCGCTTCGGCAGGATCCCAAGTGAGGTTAAGTGTGGTGCTCAGGAAAGACACCTACCTGAGCTGGAAGTTAAATCAGAGAAGCATACACCTATCCCGAGAGCATACAGGCAATAACCCAGCCAGGGCAGAATCTTGAAGAATGCCAGCATAGAAGGTACAAGTCACAGAAAAGAAGCCAAGAAGATAAGAGAGTGGCAGAACACAGGCAGAGGGAGGAGAAACCTCCAGGGGATGGAAGCAACAATGTAAACTTCTGCAGAAAAGTCAAGACAGGCACTGAGACAGGGCCTTTGGAATAGCAAATCAAGAGGTTGACTGCCTGTGCAATTTCAGTGAAGCAGACAGAGAGGGTGAAAGACCACTCCAAGAAGCCTCGTTATAAAAGGCAGGAGAAAAGATGCTGTGACTACCTACAGGGGGGCCTGACTGACACAGCAGAGGCACTTATATGGTGAGGGTAGATGCTAACAGAAAGCAGACACCTGAAGAAAAGCGATGCTTTTTCTTTTTCTTTTTCTTTCTTTTTTTTTTTATTGGTTTTAGAGAGAGAGAATAGGAGAGAAACTTCAATGTGAGAAACATCAATCAGTTGCTTCCTGCACACGCTCTGACCAGGGATCCAAACCTGCAATCCAGGGATGTGCCCCGACCAGGAATCAAACATGCCACCTTTTGGTGTGTGGGACAACCCACCAACCGAGCCGCCTGGCTAAGACACGAAAGACGATTCTTCAGTAAGGGGAGAAGAAGGGTTTCAGAATAGGTAAACTGCCTTAAAAAGGAGGTGGGAGAGACAGAAACGGAGGTAAGACTATGTAATGGTTCAGAGAAGTTACAGACAGGAAGGTGGGAAGTTTGATTTGTATTGTTTGTTTGTGGAGGAAGCGGAGGACAACTGCCAAGAGGAAGTCTTGGGTACAGCAAGGGTAGAAACAAGGATCATGGCACACGGCGGGGTACACAAGTTGCCAGAAGCATGGCCAGCTTCTGCTTGGGACCCTCTCATCTACTTCCAGTGAGGGAGCAGGGAAGTCCTCAGCATCTGCATCCCAAGAAACAGATGAGCTGAAACTCAGTGCTTCATTATGTGTCAGAGCAAATACTTATGGACAGTGTCATCAGATTTCAGGGTGGAGACAATATTAAGTTCTTTATCAGGCTTGCATTCAACTTGATTTATGCGTCCTGCCACTATCACCTCAACTCACCCAGCATTTTCCCACCAATCACTGTGTCCCAGGCGCTGTGCTCAAGCCGCTCAGCAGGATTGTTGTTGGGCGCGGTTAAACAGGCCATGGGGACTTCCACCACCCTCTGCAACTGGGGCAAAACTGCTCTGGGTCAACCTCGCCCTCCATCACTACATCACAAACTGAAGGGAAGTTTACAGAAGACCTCACTGAACATACACAACACAGGCTCCTCTTTCTGCCCCTTCACAATGGTGACATCGTCCTGCTGCAGATACCCAAGGGGCTTTCCTTTAGCCCCAGGCAAAGCAAATTATAAGATAATCTAATAACCACCCTTAGTATGTTATAGGACAGTGGTCGGCAAGCTGCGGCTGGCGAGCGACATGCGGCTCTTTGGCCCCTTGAGTGTGGCTCTTCCACAAAATACCGACTTCTGCGCATGGGCCACAAAGTTTCAATCGCACTGTACGTGCGCGCCCGCACGTGGTATTTTGTGGAAGAGCCACACTCAAGGGGCCAAAGAGCCGCATGTGGCTCACGAGCCGCAGTTTGCCGACCACTGTTATAGGAGAAAGAAAAGTAGTGGGAGTCAAGAAACCACAGGGAGCCCGGCCAGTGTGGCTCAGTTGGTTTAATGTAGTCCCATGCACCAGGAGATCACTGGTTTGATTCCTGGTCAGGGCATGTGCCCAGGTTGCGGCTTGGTCTCCAGTAGGGGGTGTGCAGGAGGGCAGCCGATTGATGCTTCTCTTCCTCTCTTTCTCCCTCCCCCTCTCTAAAATCAATAAGAAGATATCTAATTTTTTTTAAAAGACAGTCACAAAATGTTGGATGTTTTATTAAAAAAAAAGAGAAAAAAAAATGAGTTATTTCTGGTACGGAGTTCCTTGACCTTTATAGACACAAAGGCCTACCACAGGGTAACTCAAATCGAGATATCCCTGTAGCCAAGTTCTCATGAACCAAATTCAGGAACTAAACAGATGTGGAAAGCAAGAGCAATGTGCACTGTTGTAAAACTAACTTTGGACATTAAACAAACTTGCATGCACCACAAAGACCTGGTGACAGAAATTCACTGCTTGGAATATAGACCAGGAAAAGGCATATATCTTGTCTAAAAGGGTTGACAAAGGATTACTCCATTTCAAGAAATTATAACTAAGGGTGGGAGTATGGTCAAGAGCATTAGAGCCGGGATAAAAGGATGAAATATAAAAAAGAAACTACAACAAGTGGTTCAGTGAGATGATCAAGGAGCAAAGACTTCCCAACAGATCATAAAGCTGTACAGGCACAAAACAGAGCAACAAGAGAAGACCCCCAAGTATGTGACAGTGGTTG